CGCTGACTAGAGCAAATTCTGTGAGAGAGTAGCGTACTGGAATTCCCTTCACGACAAACCACGCCTCCAAGTCAATATCAATTTTGGCTAATCTACACACGAGTGGCCACAAAAGTAATGGAACAAGGACGAACTCAACATCAATGTATTTTCCAAATACACTTGACCTAAATGCACCCATGAGATTGGGAAAATCACCAAGATTGTCCAACATTAATTCTATAAATTCATCCAATTTTTGCCTTACGATGAGCTTCATACTCGGGAACGACGAGTAGTCCACCACAGGAGGCAAGGAAGGAACCTGCATATAAAAAAAAATTACAACTGTTCGACAAAAATACGGTCGAACCAATGGTTTACAACTTCGTTTCGACTAAGATTGGTAAAAAATGTATGTTTAGTTCGACCAAATGATTTTACAAAAATTCACTCCGGATTAACCACCAATGATACTTGTATAATTGGTAAGTATGTTTACTTAGAAAAAATAATGAGAAACATGTCATGCGTTTTCAAAATAATCAAACATGATTTGGGTCGACTGAGTTGAGTTCGGATTCGAATGAACATCTATAGCTTTCGTTTGAGAACTTACCACGTTTAGCTTTCTAAAGAACCAAGTATCGCTCTGAAGCATAAATAATCTAACATTTACCTGAATATCGAGTTCATCTTCGGCTTCCATCACTTCAGATGCTATCACAAGTCTCCCGTTTTGCTTGGGTTTTTACTAGAGGAATCGTAGGAGTTTTGCACTTCATGGTGATTGAAGGAGATGTAAGAATGCTTTTGGTCGAAGTCGCAGTAGAAATCGAAGAATGCTTGTGCTCGGAATCGAAGAATACTTGTGCCCTAACCCGGAGCTCGACTGAAATCGATTTCTACTGGTAGTGGATGATGAAGTGTAGGAAGTTGGGGTTCCGGAAGTTGAATCGTGGAAGGTGTGGAAGTGTGGAACCAAGAAGTCATTTCCCGTTTTTCAAAATCGCAATAGACAGTCATTTTAAAGTTCATGATGTCATTTTATTAAGGGTCATTATGTAATTACACTCTTTCGTAATAATGTATGGAGTAATAGAAGACCTAGGAGATTCAAAATACCAACCTTTTTTCGGCCCTTTTCGATAAAAACTCCTCCTACTGGGGAGTGAGGTCAGTTATGAAGTAGGACAAATCTGTCCAAACATGGAGAAAAAGGGGTGCCCTGAGGAGCTCCGCATGTTCGCTGAGGCTTCCTAAAGTAAAAGATTAGTGAAATTCGCTGAGCAAAGCCAAGCTTTTTGGAACCAGCTATGCCAATCAAATGGTATTGCTTTCTGTTTCAATCATTTACTTTGTCCTGAGATGAAGTGAATATCTTATGTGATCTTGGTCGGCTTCAATAGCTCAATATCTGTTACTTCATGGGTCATGTTGAAAAACACGACTCTATGTGCTTGCATATCCGTAGGTAGGTAAAGTATATTTATGGGTTTCATGTTAGGGTTTTGCACTGGCAGCCAAATGCTGGTACAACAGTCAACACCCAAATCCTTTCAGAGGTTTCTCAATGTGTCGAGAGCATCAATGGAGCCAAAGAAGGAAGGTGGAAAACTACTCTCAGCTTCTACAAGCCCATACTCAGAGGTCCACATGTTTTCTCATTGTTGCACCCTTTGATCATAGAATAACCCTTCTTTGTATTGTTCTGTGTATATTAGTCGTACAGAATGTGGTGATTGTGCATTTTGGGAAACCGGTATTTGATCAAATATGATTCAAATCCTGACTGATCCAACATCTCAACCCTTGTAAGGAAAGAAAGAGATTTTTTGCTAGGTTTAGACATCTGTGCGTATGTGAGAGGGGCATTTTGCTTTGAAGTTTTTAAAGGAAAACTGCAGAGTTGAATGAATATTGAAAAGTATTATGGATTAGTTTATTGATACATATGGGTCTACTGTGTAAAGTAAGTATACTGTAACTTGCAAAGAAAAGCTATCACATTTGGAAGTAAAATCATCTTTAGTCCTGGCGTAGTAGCTTTATTTCATGCATACTTATTTGAATGTTTCATTTTCTATCATATACATCTGCATTTACATTATGAGGCTATTTTTTCCCATGCTGTAGTTGTTTTTCTGCTTGTTCTTTATACCAGACCAAGCTAATGCCAATGAATTTCCGCGTGATTTTTTTGGGGATTTCACTTCAAGAGGCAGCCTGGCAAGTATTACTTTGTGCTTAGAGGGCAATGCCTAGTTATGGAAGCAGAATCATCAATCCAGACTATAATGGAGAAGCTCCAGTCATATAAAACTAGAGTTGCACTTAATTTTGAGGTAAATTGGGATTTACAACTTATGACTTCACATTGTGCTGCAAATTGGTGAATTCATATCAAGCAACGGTTTTGTTTTAATGGGATACAACAACAACCTAGCTTTATTCCTAATTCAATGGGGTCGATTACATAAACCAACAAAAAAATCCATCAAGGTCATCCCCTTAAACTCTTTTTCTTTTCTATTACTTTCTGTCACGCACCACATCCTCATCAACACCCAATGGTCTGAATAATAAAAAAGAAATCTTCCAATCAAAATGCCTCTTTATACCTAAAACCCAAGTGGTTTTGTTGTCAACCCAGACTTCTCTTTATGTCTCCACTCTCCAAGACTCAACTCTTCTTACCAGGTACTTCACAATGGTGCACTTGCCTGAATTTAATGTGTATATGTATGCCCAATTGCTTTTATCATTGATTTGTGAGGCATGGGATTAATTATCCTCCAAATGTTACTAATGGAGGACGAGGAAATAAAAGAGAGGTGGAGATTGTACTTTGATACCTTGTTCAACGGGAGTAAAGCGTAAGATATTTGTGATATGACTATACTATATTGCATGGTAAATTGGGATTTTGTGAGAAGGATCCAAATGTCAGAAGCTAAAGAGACTGAGAAAGATGCAAAAGATGTGACAGAAGAAAGCAGTGAGTCCAGATTGCATACCGATCGAGAGAGAGAGGCATTAAGTGGTTAACATGTTTCTTGAACAAGATTTGGAGAAACAATAAAATGCTAGCGAGTTGGCGGCAGAGTACTCCCTTATTTAAGAATAAGGATGTTTTTACTTGGACTGTAATTTGCTGGTCTGGTCTGGTCTGGTCTGATCTGGTCTGGTCTGAACTGGTCTGGTCTGGTAAGGTCTGGTTTCTTTGTATTTTTATAACTATCCAAGTCTGGTCTGGTCTGGACTGGTCTGGTCTGGTCTGGGGCAAATTACAGTCCAAGTAAAAACATCCTAACATTGATGTACAAGAATGTGCCAACTATCGAGAGATTAAGCTTATGAGTCACACCATGAAGCTTTGGGAGCGGATGATTAAGCAAAGGTTCCAAAGAAGTGTGAAGATTTTGAATAATTATTTCGGTTTTATGCCGGTTTGCTCAACACTTGTAGTCAAAAGCGCGCGCCTGAGCGCTTAAGCACACCAGGCGAGGCACATATGAGGGTCAGCGCCTGTTAGAGTTATCGGCGTAGCCATTTGAGTGGAGCGCAAGTGAGGCGCAATATGCGCAGAAGCGGTGAACGCTTGAAGCGTTGAAAAGCGCATGCTTAAGTTGCCTGGCCTGGGAAAGGCGTATCAGCCTATTTATTTGTTTGGTCCTACTTTAAATAATAAGCCCATACTTATAAATTATAATAAGATTTAACCCATTCAAATAACACGTCAAAATAACTTAAACCCATGTTAAATTCTCCTAACTTCTAAGTCACGGTAAAAGCCTTCTATAGTGTGACTTCATTGTTACTCTCGTATGCTCTACTCGCGCAACTAGTTCAGCATTCAGAAACAACATTCAATGATCATACATTCAATGATCATACATTCGAAATAACTTAAACCCATGTTAAATTCTCCTAACAACATTCATCGTTACTCTCCTATGACTTCATAGTTCAGCGTTGAAACAACATTCAATGATCAACCCATAGAAGTTAGAAATCCATAAGGTGTCTTCTTCTTCATCTTCTCATGTTGTTTCATCTTTCTTTTTCAGATTGTAGTTTTCATTTATTTTGTCATCTTCTTGTTGATCCTTTCTTTTTTATTCTTTCAGTATATCTTCCTTTACCTTTATAGTTCTTTTTTCTTCTTATATAATATTACATGTACCTGACTATGCATACTTTACAGTTCTCTTTGCTTCTTATATACTCCCTCCGTCCCGCAAAATTCTTCCCAGTTTGACTTGACACGGAGATTAAGAAAGTGGAATAAAGTGAAAATGTATGGTTGTGATTGTGTAAGAAAAAGGTGAAATGAATGTGAACTACGCAAATTGTCCAAAAATGGTAAGTGGGAAGAATTTTGTGGGATGACCCAAAAAGGAAAGTGGGAAGAATTTTGCGGGACGGAGGGAGTATTATATACTTTATAGTTCTGTTTGCTTCTTATATATTCTATACTTTATAGTTCTCTTTGTTTCATCTTATTATACAATCTATAACTCTATCTTCCTATTATCATTTCATATTATTATTGTATTAAACTTCGTATAATCTAACTTAGTTAATAGTATCATACACTACACAATTTATGTTACCCCTAGTCCTCAAACTACAAAATCAGCTAAAACAGACCCTGCTCGGCGTTTTGTTTTTATGAATCATGACTTTATTTTGTGGATTGTGACTTTGTAACGGAGAAACATAACTTTTTAATGCATTTAGTTCAATATGATGTTGAATATGTCATATTTGATCCATACTTGTCACGGCGGTAAGGCAAGGCGCGGCGCTAGCTGACCGCCTTATCGCCTCGGCGACTAGGCACCTGCCTAGGCGACAATTAGGCGATTAGTTGCACCATATGTAATATTTAAATATGTAAAATAATATATTTAAAGATATCTCCGATTTGTAATTTATTATATATTATATAATACAAATAAAAATATGCATTACCTAGTTTTGGAAGCAACGATTAATAATTCAAAACAGGGTTTACTAAATCAAAGCCAGAGTAAATCAAAATTTGAAAAAAAAAATCTAAAATATTAAATCCAACATAAACAATTTGTAAAGGTGGTGCATACAACAAACACAAGTATGCAGCATATAAAGACATATAATTAGACTAAAGGACCTATAGTATACTGCGTATTATGCGAAGGAACAAGAAACGTTTGACTGGAGTTCGAAGAAGGCTCTATATTTACATTATAAATCTTTTTTGGGTTTGGGTTATGTCGGTTCTACTCTTTTCTGGTGTCGCCTTTCGCCTAACCTATGCCTAATCTACGCCTGGAGGATGACGAAGTTGCCTGGTCTTCTTCAGGCGAGGCGATGATGCTTGGCGACCACGTTCCACACTTCCACCGCCAGGCCGCCTAGTTGCCGCCGTAACAACTATGATTTGATGTCTCTAGAATAGTATACATAATAGTTTCTAAATAATGCATTTGACATGATTTAGGCGAGCGCTTTTTTGCGCTTTGCGCCTCAAGCGATATAAACACTCTAGTGCCTTGAGTGCGCCTCACGACTTTGACTGCTTTGGCTCCACAACCAAGACCATTCACCTTCTTAAGCAACTTGTGGAGAAGTATAGAGACATTAACAAGTATCTACGTTTCGTGTTCATTGACTTAGAAAATGCATAGGATAGGGTACCTCAAAAGTCCTTTGGTTAGCTTTACCTCAAATTTCCATCATTTGCAATGGAGCCAGAGACTCACTATTTTTTGGCTTGAGAATATGATGAAATAAAGCAAAATGGCTCACTAAAATGTATGCGCTTCTTTGTTATGAAGCAGCAGTCGGTCTATGCAATTTTTGACGAATTTTTCACTTTGGGTCATTTGAAACAGTCTCATTGTACTTTAGTATAGGGGTAAGGCTGCTTACATCCGACCCTTCCTTACCCCACCATAGGTGGGAGCCTTTGCGGCACTGGGGTAATGATGATGATGATGGTGACTGTAGTGAGGAGGACTGTAGAGTTCCCTATTACTATCGTAGTGCACCAAAGATTGACTCTGAGTCTTTTCTTATTTGCTATAGTCATGGATGAACTTATGAAGTCAATTCAAGGCGATATTGTTTGGTACATGATGTTTGCTGATGATATTGTATTGATTGATGAAACACAATTAGGTGTTAAAGCAAAGTTTGAAGTATAGCGACAAACATCGGAGAATAAAGGTTTCAAACTAAGTTGAAACAAGGCTAAGTATACGGAGTGCAAGTTTGGTGGAGGTAAAAGCAGTGGGAACAATGGGATTACCCTGGTTGGTAAAGGGATATCGCTCAGTGGTATATTCCACTACTTGGGCTCCGCAGATTAGAAGGACGGTGAACTCGATAGAGATGTATCCCATAGAATGAGAACATGGTTGGTGAAATGGAAGACTAGACTGAAGAGTAAATTTTATCGGACCATCATTAGATCTGCATTACTATATGGCGTAGAATGTTGTACAATGAACAATGTCACATTAAAAGAGGTTTGAGGAATGAGACATTCAAATAAAAAGTGGGAGTAACACCGGTTGAAGATAAGATTCGGTAGTCTCGATTGTGATAATTTGGTCATGTATGTAGAAGATTGAGTGATACACCTGTTGCACGAGTTGAGAAGTGTGGAGAAAAGGCAGAAAGTGAGGGAGAAGAAGACCCAAACAAACATGAATTAGAGGAGTCAGTAGTTATATGATTCTTCTTGGATTGGATAAACGTATGACTTTGGAGAGAGAGAAAGTGGAGGGCGTGTATTTGTGTGGTGGATTGATCTCTTACCATCTTTTTTCCCTTTATCTTCTCTATCTTGTCTATGGGTTTTTAATCCTTTAATCTTTTTTTATTATATATATAAATTAATATATGTATTCTTTATATCTTTTTTATCTTAGCATTTTTTGTGTATATCTTATCTTTATTTTATCTTATATTTTTATCTGTTTTATCCTTTTATTTTTCTTATCTTTAATTTTTTATCTTTCTATTCCTTTTGGCTACGATATCATGTATCGGTTCATGTTAGCAGACCCCAAAATCTTTTGGGACTAAGGCTTGGGTGTTGTTGTTATTGTAGTGAATTAATGAACATAGTGAACATACAAACCTAAACTAGGGCAAAGGAAATGCACAAGCAATGTGTTGTATCACATACACTGATACATAAGACCTTGTGCACCCTGGTCTCATTGCATAGTTTTTTATTATCATATGCTGTGTCCTGTGGCACCGTAGTCTCATTGCATAGTTTTTTATTATCATATGCTGTGTTCTTATATCATACAGTTTGCGCTAAGGTATCTTACTTATCCAGGGGCTTCAATACCAACTTGGTGACTTTCGGCTGCGAGTGGGAAAAGTTGCCCCAATTCACACTGAGGCTTTGAGGGGAATAGTAATGGAGGTACTTATTATTCTTTTCTTCCCTTGTTCATAATCAAGGTTGCCTTTCAACGCTTTTTCGCATTCTAGGTAGATCAATGAGACATGTACGAAACTATTTGATCTTTTCTGTATCGTTTTCTTTCGAGAAAAATAAAAAAAGTACTCTTTTGCCATTATGCGTGTTGTCTTGTGCTTCTGAGTTCTGACCATATTTTCTCAAAGACCAATATGTGACAAAATTTTAGCTACATGTTTTGACCATTGTTGAGATAACTGAAACAGAGTAAACGTAACTGAACTGGGTAACAGACACTAGTCAGTAAATGCTAGCTTGAGATCTTCAAGCGCTTATGAGTTTTGTCTCAAGGCTTTAAAAGTTCCATTAAGCATTTGATCTCCTCCTGTCTTCTCTATAATCCCTTCCTTTTATCTTCTTTATTAACCTCTTCCCCTGCTTGATTGAAGCACGCTGTCGGGAGTTTGGGTAGTTGTAAACTATACTGCCTTTAAATGAAGGAATGAGAAGATTAGGGCTTGTCGAAAAGAGAAGAAAAATTTTCTATCATACTTTCACTTTCAATGTCAACCAACTTTCCTTTTAGCATTGACATACATTGTACCCCAAGTAAGCCCAATCAACCATTTTCATCTTTTAACACTTCCCATCAACCAGAGGGTGAATATCATATGCTCTGGCTTGTTGCAAATGTATTTGATCATGGTTCTCTAAAAAAATTGTTAAGATATCCACTAGCTGATCATTTGAGTCCACAAACATGGTTTCAATTTCTTGAAATACTATTTTCTCTCAAACAAAATGAGTTAAATGATAAACTACTTCATTGTCTTTCACTCTTTCGTTCTCCCATGAAATGCCTAATTGGATGTAATTGTGTGATCCTGCTTATTTTTCACTTTTCACAAATGAGCGGCTTAGGCCCCAACTCACATAATCTTTTTTTATGGTACCCAACTCACATAATCTTAACTCATTTAAGAAAATGTTTTAACAAGTTTAATTCGTTTGCATGCTTTAGTGCCATTGATTGGTACTGATTCTCCACTTGATTTTGAAACAACATGTTGTCTCCTTCCCTTGCAATGAAGTTACAGAAAAAGAATATACAATATTGTGGTGTTGATAACATCCAGCCAAAATAATCAACCATTTTCATCTCTTAACACTTCCCATCAACTGGGAGGGTGAATATCATATGCATACTGGCTGGTTTCAGATATATTTGATCCATGTTTCTCCAAAAAAATTGGCAAAGACATCCACTAGCTGACCATTTGAGTCCACAAACATGGTTTCAATTTCTTGAAATAATAAATTCTCTCAAACAAAATGACAAACTACCTCAATGTCTTTCGTTCTCCCATGAAATGCCGAATTGGATGTAGTATGTAATGCTGCTTAGTTTTCATAAATGAGCAGCGTAGGCTCCATTTCATGTAACCTTAACTCATTTAAAAAAATGTTGTTACAAGATTTAATACATTTGCATGCTTTAGTGCCATTGATTGATACTTATTCTCCACTTGATTTTGAAACAACATGTTGTCTCTTTCCCTTGCAATCAAGTTACAGAAAAAGAAAATACAATACTGTGATGTTGATAACATTCAGCCAAAGTAATCTTTTCCCTGAACAATGGTCCTGCACAATAACAGAATAAAAGGAAAGTAATTGAGCAATCCAGAGATCAGGGGGAAGGGTTATTTGAAGGGACATTTGACTACACAAAGGATAACTGACAGATGTCGAGTTGGAAGAGGCGGTTCTTTACCAAATCCAAAAGATGTACATTTATATCCATCAACATAAATGATGGAAGGAAGAACATTGGATGTTGTGAGTTGATCTTATAGAGGGGAATTACCAGTTAGGTTCTAGTCAACCTGAATCAAGCACACTAGGTCCTGAATCCTGATTGGGGCGATGAGCAGCATGTGACATTTTGTTGTTTGAGGAACAGGGGCGATCTATTGAGGAAGGAGGGGGCAGTTGCCCCAATAAAACCACATTAATCTATGTAATGTATTAGAAAATTTTAGAGTCCAAGTATGGCCCCCCATCATCTTCATTACCCCAGTGCTGCAAAGGCTTCCACCTACTGTGGAACAGGGGTGGATCTATTGTGGTGCAATGGCAGATTGCTATGTAGTAGTTAAAGAGGCATCAAACATTCAAACCTGTTTAAAATCCCGTCCCAATCCCGCTTCATTTTGACTACATCAAAGGCCAGAATCTGTTTATTTATTGTTCCCATCCTGCACTATCTGCAAAATATCCTTCCAACCTGTCTCGTTTTCTTCACCCAAATACGTAGAAATTTCAATAATAAAAATACGCATTGATTCATTAAAAACAAAACCCCCAAGTTTTGACAGACAAATCTGAATAAAGTTTGCTAGTTTCCTCTATTTATTTTAGATTCACTAGTTTATTATATTTATATTTAGGGGTTAATAATTTATATTATATCTGGTTTTGGGCATACGAATCAGTCTCATATCTTGTCGGGTTTTAAATTATTTTTCCATATCCAAGCCTATTCTAGTGAGCATTTTAATAAGAAGCCCCATTAAGGGAGGGTGATATGGGGTGTGCACTAATGACCTGGCTTGATTCAAGGAACCAATTACGAAGAGAGTTTGTAAAATTTACATTGGTTGTAAAGAGGAACCAATTCCGAAGAGAGTTGGATGGCCAAAATAAGTAAGGTTGCACAATTGGGCACCAGTTCTCTTAACAGGGAAAAAAAATACATTTCTAAATTCTAACGGATTTATTCCCTTTTGATGTACGTTCATCTTGGTGAGGCTGTCAAATACACCTTTGTCTCATTAACTATAATTCACATCATCATAGCAAGATTGATAGTTGTGTTGTAGATTGCTCGCAGATCACTAATGAGCATAGTGTTTGCTTCTTTTATAGATGGAGTATCTTCCTATCTCTTCATGGGAAACATCACATCAAATCATGGGAGAGTTTTTTGATATCTGGAAGGAGGCTCTCTCAAAGAGATCACTGCCAGGCCATTTCGTGCATATTGAACCAAACTTCACAGAGTTTGCCCTTGCTGATCAGTACTCTTCTCAGCACACAGCCGTACAGTATGCTTGTATCATGGCTCAAATGCTTGCCACCGCTCAATCGGCCCAGGCTATGAGAACTTAGGCACGTCACCAGCAAATCCCCATCTATAAATGTTTGTACAATTTGAATATGACCCTACTTTTGCTAAAAGATGATCCATTTGGATGTGGGCTACATTGTGCAAGCTAACGATTGTGTCCCTTAAAATATTTCCAAGATATATATATATATATATATCTAAAATATTATAATAGTCAATGAAGGTAAGGGTACTTTAGGTATGAAAAATGTGTTGGTGTAATTATATGCTAATGTAAACTTGTACTTTGAACAAAAATGATTGTACCTTAGTGTGTCTAGCAGCTTTAATGTCTAATGAATCCTACATTCCGTTAGTATTCCGTTAGTTAGCCTACTTTCAAGCTTTTACATTAAGCTTTCCATCGATTAGATTATTACTCCATCACTACACTATTCACAAATGTTTCATTTTTCCCTTGCTCTAATCTTTGTTCTTTTCTTTTTGCTTAAGAAATATACTACGTAGACTACGTACGTAACATGTAGTAAGTTTAGTATCAAGCTATTATATCTATTATCATATCATTATGTGATTTATGAGTATGGAAGTAGGGAACTATGGATGTTTTTATTCTTTTTTAATTTTCTCAAACAAGAAATAAAAATTTGCTCAATAGATATTGAAATTGAATAAATGCTTGCTAAAGTGACTAAACTAGACCTGGACTCGGGCCAGTTCGGGCCCGGTTTGGGCCTGGGCCCGGCCGGGCCTCGGGCCAGGATAGGGGAGGCCCGGGCCCGAACCGCCGGTGGCCGGTTCCGGTTCCGGTTCCGGTTCCGGTTCCGGTTCCGGGCCAAACCGGGCCGGGCCGGGCCTAACCGGCCCAATTTTTTTTTTGTTCTCCTATTTAATCCCCTACCCCTCCCCCTCAACCCCAAACCACCCCAAACCACCTCAAATGGCCCAAAATACCTATTCCAACCCAAGATTTAAAAAAATTTTCAAAAAAAAAAAAAAAAAAATTAAAATCCGGCCCGGCCCGGTCCCGAACTGGCCGGGCCGGTTCACCATATGGAAGGCCCGGGCCCGGAACCGGGAACCACCGGGCCGGTTCGACCCGAACCGCCGGTGGACCGGGCCACCGGGCCGGGCCGGTTTCTACAGCGGCCGGGCCGGGCCGGTTCCGGGTCGGGCCGCTCGGCCCGAGTCCAGGCCTAGACTAAACTGTTCGAATATATTGAATTATAGAAATATTATATTTAAAATATAATTTATTAATAGACTAAAGAAAAAAGTCAAAAATGGCCTAAATTATCATATACAACACCTAATTCTAACCAATTCAGTCAGAAAAGTTATCCTAACCTTACTTATTTTGATAATTGCACAATTCGGTGTGAGAAATCAAAAGATACATGCTTGATAAAAATATTGACTGATAAAGCTTGATAAGATGAATAACGAGTTACCAAATGGGCTCTTAAGTATACCTCATTTGCTACTACCTATGTTCCCCTAACATTAGTACAAGAGGAAGTAGTGTGGTTGACATGAAAAGTGAATTTATGTGATTACTAAAGTGAAAATGAAGTAAGAATGATTTTGAACCACACAACATTACCAAATTTGATATAAGACAATCTTAGAGTTCGTTTGGTGACTCAGTTTTTTGGCTTATCAGCCAACTTTATAACCAAACGCGTAACTTTTTATTTAGTGCGCTGAAATGTGTCATAATAAGAAAATATAAGGTTGAAGTTACTTTTTTGGCTGTATTGTCTGAAGTTACTGCAGATGACCATTTTAGCTATTTTTATATAACTTTTTCTTTATTTCATCAATAAATATATTTTAAATATAATTTTACCGCTATATTTTCATAAGTCTATAAAGTTTAACTTCAAATTATAATGTTTTGTTAAAATATAACCACTTCTCATCTTAGCATATAAGCATGAGTGCTTTTCTGATATCAGATATCTTGCATGAACCAATTAAAATACATACTTTGAAAATGATTTCTAGCTAATAATATCAACTATTTGAATAAACAAAAAAAAATAATATGAATCCACTTTTTGACAAGAAATTCAATCATTTAAAACATCAAAAACTTATATCAAACGATCAAATAAATGATACTCCGTAGTTGACAATATGGTCACTTGTGTAATACAAGTATTTTGACATTACTTTGTGATGAATTAAATGATTGAATTTTTAGTTAAGAGTTGCTCTATTTCACTTTTGTTATATATTTAGATATTTAGATAGTTGATATTATTAAAGTTGCTTCCAAAGTGGGTATTATATTTCTATTGTACCTCTCATTTGTATCTCATATTTATCATGTGAAGGTGTCTTATATTAGATCGAATGTGGGCCAACAATATTTAGATATGTACTAGATATTTATCACACGGTTAATGGTACGTCTTCTTATGAAATTAAGAAAATAGAGGCTAGCGCGTATGTGCATTTGCATTATTTTATTTTATTTTTGGTCCTTGTTCATGATGAGAAAGTATTAATACTTTATTTTTAAGTTGATATAAATGTTAATGTGTTAAGTACTATAGAGTAAAAGAAATCATATCAAACCAATATAATGTACATATTTTCAAAAATTCATTGGACATTTTATTCAATTGCGCAACGCGCAGGTAGAAAACTAGTTTATAAATATATGTGAGCATATTCGCCAACACTACTTACTATACACTAAGATAGGATGTGCACGTTCTCACATTCATGCTCAAGTAAAACAGCCAAAAAAAAATCTCAAAACATTTTGGGGCAGGTTAACATGAATCGACCTATGATAACAAAGCCAAAAGAGAAGAAAGAAGATAAAAAATAAAGTAATATAAATTGGATAAGATAAAATCAAATATACGATAACATTAACATCAGAAAAGATAAAAGATAAAAAGATAAAATAGCATAAGAAGGATAAACTCATAAAAGATAAAAAAAACATACGAATATAGAAAGATAATGGAGATAAACAATTAAAGAAAAAGGATCGAGGAAAGATAGAAAAGAGATCAATTTTTCACACGAATGTGCGTCTTCCACTTTACTCTCTTCAAAGTCATATGACACATACTCTCATCCAACCCAAAAAGACGAATATCAGTTCTGATTTTTCTAATCTAAGTCTGTTTGAATATTCCACTCCCTCTCTTTTCCGCCTCTTCTCCCCACCTCTCGAGTCGTCTAACAAGTGCATCACTCGTTCTTTTGCGCACATGATCAAACCACCGCAATCGAGACCCCCACATCTTATCTTCTATAGACTATAGGTGTTGTTCTCACCTTTTGTCTGATTATCTCATTCCTCAAGCGGCCTTTTCTAGTATGTCCACACATTCAACGCAACACACACATCTCAATCATGCTCATATTTTGAATGTGATATTGTTTCATCGCTCTACACTCTACGTCATACATTAATGCATGTCTAATTGTTATTCGATAAAATTTACCCTTCAGTCTAGTCGTCATACCTTGATCGCATAGAAACCCTTATGCACTCTTTCATTTGATTTACGCAACTGTGATTCTATGAGATAGATCTTCATTTAATTCACCATCCTTTTGAATTATGGAGCTCAAGTAATGGAACATATCACACATCTGTATCTCCTTACTATCAAGTGTAATCCCATTGTCACTACTACCACTACTACTACTTTTACCTCCACCAAATTTGCACTCCATATACCCATTCTTGCTTCGACATAGTCTGAAACCTTGGTCTCCAATGTTTGTCGTCATACTTCCAACTTTTCTTTAATACCTGATTGCGTTTCATTAATCAATACAATATCGTCGACAAACATCATGCATAACGATATATCTTATTGAATTGACTTTGTAAGTTCATCCATGATTATAGCAAATAAGAAAGGACTCAAAGTTGATCCTTGGTGCACTCCGATAGTAATAGGAAACTCTGTAGTCCTCCATACACTAGTACGGACGTTTGTAGTACACTTCTTATACAAATCCATGATGACACTGATATACTTACGTGATATGTCTTTTCTAGTTAAGACCACCAAAGGACTTCTCGAGGTACCTTATCATAAGTCCTTTTTAAGTCAATGAACATTAAATGCAAATCTTTTTAATGTCTTTATACTTCTCCACAACTTCTCTAAGAAGGTGGAATAACATTAGTATTAATACGTTGCATGTTTGGTTATAATTAAGGATGGACTCTGTCTAGAACCGGGTCCGGTACTGTGTGAGATTGGTCCGGGTTTGTAAAATTACTCCCGGTCTAGGACCAGGTACCCGACCTGGCACTCGGCGGTCCTGATCTCGGTTATCGATTTTGGGGACCAGACAGTCTTGGTTTCGATCCCAATGGTCAAATTATAGCTGTTGGAATAGCTATAAGCGACTATATAGTCATTGGGGATGGTTTGGGGGGGGGGGGTTGGGTAGGGGTGGGGTTTAAAAAAATTAAAAATACCTCATCCATTTTCATAAATATCCTACGCTTCTATTCTCTTATTCGCTTCTACTCTAAAATTCTAATTCTCCGTACTCTTAATTATATCTTCATACTCATAATTATATGAGGTTTATCCTAAAATATTAGTAATAAACAATCTATGGATTAAAATGTGACTATAAGTTACGTTTTGTTATCACTACGATGTGATGTTTCAATACAATTATTATAGTCACTAAAGTTACTAGAATCATATTTTTTCAAACTGCTTTTATTTTGGTTATATATTTGAAATTATTTCTAGGGAAATATATTAGAATCAATGAGTTTCTCAATCTATGACCTAACTAGTTTTTATACTTATCTATGACCAAAAATCCAAATAAATAAATAAATAAATCTTGTTTTAATTTAAAGGTTAAATGACAAAAATACCCTTATTTAAAATATGTGCATTTTGCACTAAATTCGTCCAATTAAAATTACTGCACTTTATATTGCCGTTAATGCATGACATTAATCCACAACTTTACTGCATATCCGATAATCATCACTGCACTTCCGCCAAAATTATTTCTCCTCATTTACTTGCAGAATTTATTTTTAGTTTTTTTAGATTTAATAATTTTATTATTTTACGTTGAATTAAATATAATGCATTTCATGATGATATTACTGCTTTGTGTAACAACAATATTGGTCATAATCACTGCACAACTAAATTATTAATGCATCCATTCACTGCCATGTACAACATGTCTATTAACATATATATTCACTGTCCATGCTCAACACTCGTTGGAATGTTCACTGTTGATATTCAATGCTCATATTTAATGCCCACAAACCCTAAATTCAATAAAATCTAATCTCAAAAAATAAAAAAGCAGAATAATGAGGCGAACGAATGGGCTGCAGCGAGGGTGAGTTGGAGCGCCTCCATGTTGCTGGATGATGAAATTGGTTGTATAGGAACAAAGGTGCATGACTGGGTGCACTGGGTGGCGGTGTCTGCACGTATGCATCAGGGCGGAGGCTGGGGTGGATGAGAGGCGGTGTACACGGCCTAGGATGGCAGCGCAGAGGTCGGGGGTGGTGTGCGCAGATCTGGCCTGGGACGGCAGTGTACATATTTGGGACGGCGATGAGAAGCGGCGGCACGATGGCGATGAGGAGCGGTGGCTGGACGACGATGGAGAGCGGCGGCTGGACGGCGGGCAGCAGATCGACGTTGGGCGGCGCTTTGGGACGTAGGTATGGAGGAGAACTGGCCCAACAAGCCATGTAGTGCTCCCAACCCCCCAGATCTTATTTCTGTGGATGGCGGCGACGCTGGACAGTGGGTGGCGGCGGCAGGACGGCGACGTAACGGCTAGACGGCGACGCAACGGCTAGACGGCGACGGGGCAGCTGCACGATGGGCGGCTAGGTGTTGGGAGGTTGTAGCTAGGGTTGTATAAAATGGGTAGGAGGTTAGGGTTTTATAGGTGGAAACTAAAGGGTATATTTGTCCACCTAAATTAATTATTTATTTTTAATGACGAATTTCAATTAAATAATATGAATTTTAGTATTATTTTGATAAAAAAACTAGTTAGGTCATAGATTGAGAAAGTGAAGAAGTTTTGATCATACGTAGGGTAATTAACTCTTATTTCTAATTATATATATTTATATATAATACATACTTTTACATTCATATACAATGTTAGAATATATAATATTATAATTTATAGCTACAACTCTACAAGCCAACAAAGTTAGAAATATATAATATCTACTTATATTTAAAGGTATTATACCTGCGTCTATTTAAATATATAATATTAAGTATATATATTATAGTATTAAATATAATTATACTAATAATCTCATAGTATATAGTTACATATTTATACTGTTAGCATCATATTATATAATAAGTATACTCGCCACATCTTGATACTTGTCACATTTCTATATTAATCATATTAGCCACATTATCATATTATTTACATTATCATATTAGTATCAGGCACATTTTAATATTAGTCACATTTAATATTACTCACATTTTAACATTAGTCACATTTTCATATTAGTCATATCAGTCACGTTATCATATTAGTTACAATATCATATTAATATTAGTCACATTTTAATTAATTACTCCGGTACATTTTAATAGTAGTTACATTTTAACATGTCGGGTGCTAGAAAATTTGTTGATCTAGGTAATCCCCAATGCAACCTTAAGGAGATTTTGCAAATTTACTCCCAATTTACGTTTCCTTCCGCCTCTCCCGGCGGAGAAGCACTTCCAGAAGTCCAGATCAGTATTAGGAGTTTCAACGATCCTCAAAGTCCAAGATATAAGCATGATAAGAGATCCAGCAGCAAGCGAGAGACAATTTATGACCATAGAGATTACATGTCCGATGAATAAATGGCGCAACTCTTGTCACAAAAATCAAGGACGATTTTTACAACAAGAAACCTTAGAAACCCTTCCCGAGATTGATAAAGAGATGGAGGATGACGACATTGAGGAGGAGCCCCTGGTGAGGGAAAAAGAACCAGGCGGTAGAGATACTCCCGATGAGGAGCAAGGAACAGTGCTGCTTCATCCGAACCACCCAAACAGGGAAACACTTACAAAATCAAATCTTTTTAAACATCATTTTATAAAGTCTAAGAATTTGACATACAACAAGTGGTATGTAACTTGCAAATATTGTGAACAAGTATTGTGCATAGGGGTGTCGAGGGGCTATGACATTGTGAATAAGCACTTGAACTCGAGGCACCCTAGGCAGGCGGCGAGGACGAAGGACAAGGGCACATAAACACAAATAGTGGTGGACCCGGTTCGGGCCACCCGGCCCGGGACCGGCCCGGCCCGTCACAGTACGGGCCCGGAACCGGCCCGGTTCTCGGGTCCGGGTCCGGTTGGGGCACCGAACCGGTGGGAAAAGTGGGTCTTGGCTCGGGTTCTGTTTTTCGTGGCCCGGCCCGGCCAGGTTGGGCCCGGGCCTAACGGTCATTTTAAAAAAAATTCTTTTAATTTTAAAAAACCCATTTTGGCTCAACAGCCACTTCCCAAACGGCTATATAGCCGTTGGGTGGGTACCAGGGGGGTCCGGGGCCTTTGGGGTGGGGAGTGGGGGGTGGGGGAGTGGGTGGGGGGTGGGGGGGTGGGGGGGTGGGGGTTAAAAAAAACCTATAAATACTCCTAATTTTAAACATTTTTTCACACCTCTTCTCCAACTCTCCCTAAATCCTACTCTCTACCCATCTCCAATTCTCCATATTCATCTTCTCAAATTCTCTTATTCTCCTTTATATTTTATTTTACTATTTAATACTTATACAATTATTATATCTATTTATATATTAATTATCTACTTATAAATACATATACTATATTACTTATATTTCTTATCTACTTAATCTCTACTTATATCTCTGTTAATACATACATACATACATACATACATACTACATCTACTTAATATATACTTTATATAATAAAGTATTAAATATACTTTATAAACTATTACTATATACTTAATACATAATAATATCTACTTCTCTACTTAATAATATCTATTTTATATATACTTATTTTATAATATCTACTTTTATATATACTTTATAATATCTATTTTATATATACTTATTTTCTTGGGGCGTTCATACGGATACGGGATGCCAATAAAACATATGAAGTCCTGTGACAAAGGGAAAACAACAACCAACGGTGGCGGAAATCCCAATTGATATTCATTAGAAAATGTATTTCGTATTGTTATTTTTTTCTCAATTCTCAAATGTAGTTCTTATTTCAAATAAATGCACTTGAACTTTGTTTTTAATAGGAATTTGTATAATATATAATTAATTAAAAAAAAATACTGGCCCGGCCCGGCCCGGCGGGTGGCCCGGCCCGTGACCCGGGCGGGTGGCCCGGCCCGAACCGGAACCGGCCATTGCCCGGGCCGGTCCCGGGCCTACCATTACAAGACCTGAGGCCCGACCGGGCCTTGACCCGGCCCGGGTCCATCACTAAACACAAATATCAATGTTCGCATGATATTTTTATTTATAATGATCGACAACATTTGATAGCTATGTTTGAATTAATATGTGAAAAAAATTTGACTTCTATTTTTTTGAAAGTCCTGATTTACATGCTTATGCTCAAATTTCTTTAAGTCTATAATTTCAAAACTATGACCGCAAAACACTTTAAAAGGAAGTTAGTGAATAATATACTTTGCAAAAGGAAAAATTAATTAATTATTAGCAATTTTTCAAGAATGTGCCTATTTGTAGTGATATATAGGAAGATACATATAAGTTGTGTATTATTTATGACTTTATGTGTGACAATACATTTTATTGATGATGATTGGCAAATGCATAAACGAGTTATCGCCTTTAGAGATTTTAATGTTAAACACATCGGTTATAATATTTATGTTATCGTGGAACGTATTTTAATTAAATATATTTGTTTGATAAGGTGTTTGTTATAGGTTTTAATAATGCTACTAATAATACTAGTGTTATACCTGAATTGCGTGAATTATGTGATCCTACTTTGATGGATAGATTTTTCATTAACGTTGTGCATATTATATTAGTAATTTATATGTAAAAGACGTCTTAGCCACATTAGGAAATGTTAGGCATGGACCGGTACCGGGGCCGGTCCAAACCGGGCTTTTGGTCGTTGGGTTAAGGCCCAGTACCGACCCGAGATTCTACCGGGACCGGGTCGGGTTCATTTTTTGTAGCTTTTCTAATTAATTCCTACCCCCCCCCCCACCCCCGCCAAAACACCCAACCCAACCCGCCTACCACCAAAACACTTCGAAAAAAATTGGCCCAGACCGGCCCCTGACCGACCGGGCCAGTTCCAAGAGGGGCTGAGCCTGTGAACCGCCCCAACCCCCCCCCCCCCCCCCCCCCCCCAGCCCGAGGCCTGGTCCCGATTCACCGGGCTGGTCCCTATCCATCCTTAGGAAATGTGATGGAAAACATTAAGGCCTTAAGGGGGCTATTAGACTTATTTGGGGTCAGGGTCGGCCCAGAGGGAGTTTAGGATGTGTGACCGCACAGGGCCCAAAAAAATTGAGGGCCCAAAATAAATTTTTTAGTAGTAGTACTACTACTCTACTAATGTAATAATGTATGATGAATTGATGAAATAATGAAATTTAAAATTTTGGTTGTTATTTAAAATTAAATGTAATTAGTTGATGAGTTAATTAGGCTATTTATATTTAATAAAATTATAATTGCTGCAGCTATGTTTTAAGAACATCTGTTTGTCGATCAATAATTATGTCAGAAAGGAAGGCCCAAATTTTGTTATTGCACAGGGCCTCCATTTTCTTAGGACCGGCCCTGTTTGGGGTAGTACTAGACTTAAATTGTAATGGTATGCTTATAGTGTGAGCTTGTTAGTTGTTAGTAGGCTTGGACCCGGTTCGGGCCGCCCGGCCCGGGACCGGCCCGACCTGTCACGCCCCGGACCTCCCCGGACACGTCAACAACCCGCCGTACAATACGAATAGTCAACCGCAGTCCAACACATTCATATTATACAAGGCGTCATGAATATCATTCACACACAAGTCATCCATAAACAACATAATAAGTAATTCATAAAGCAGCGGAAAACATTGTTTAAAACAAAAGGGCCACACAGGGCTATTCATGAGCACGCAGGCTCTATAATAAAATATCCATGAGCATGTTTATTAATGTTTAAAATCCGAATGGAGGAAGCACGAACCAAGTCTTCGCTCCTAGATGATCTCTCGAGCAACGAGCACAGGAAGCAAGCTCTAGCCTCAACCTGAAAAATGGTGGTGGGACGCCCCCGAAGGGGTCAGCACTCTATAGGGCTATAAAGTGCTGGTGTGGCAGGCATCTAATAGATATACAACAAGTATTTCAAACACAAGACCCTCAAATAGGGTGATAGTATATTATGATTGTAACCCTAAGTTACCCCGTTTAAAAATATACTTACTTTATATAAAAGTCAAGTAGCCGGCCCGTGGGCCCATGTTCATTTGGAAATCACCATTCCCAACCCCGTGACTATAAGCCACGACAACTCCTAGAGTCCAACCCTAGTACATGACATTGTATTCTAGAGCTCGGCTCTACCACATCACCATACAATTCATATACCTCGGGTCAATTTCCCTACCTTGCGTTCTAGAGCTCGGCTCTATCACATCACCACGCAAGTCCTAGAGCTCAGCTCTAGCTATACAATACATAGACTCCAAGTCCACACCTTACATGCATTCTAGAGCTCGGCTCTATCACATCACCATGCATTAAGGTCCAATTCTCAAGCAACCCTATGCCTAGAATTGACATATCATTAAACTACCATGGGTCATCCTTAAAGACTCCCCATAACTTAACCTTAGTTCCATACTAAGTTATCATATACACTTGAACTACATTCAAGTACCTTTCATACAATCCAATCCCTAGGATCAATTTAATCAACAAGTTCCAATAATCACTAACTAGTATTCCAATACTATTAAGATTATTGTTATCGTACCATTATCCTCATTGTTTGTAATTCTCTACATATTTATAATTATGTAGCAGCAACTTAAGTACTCAATCTCAATACACAAATATTCATTTATGTATCCACATGATTCATACATGAGCAAAATGCCCATTTTCACAAAATAGTTCATTTATACTCATTTAATCTCATATTATTCATACTTTCTCAAATCATTCCAAATTCATTCTTTGGCAACTATATCAATATTTCATCAATATATAGTCATCATAATCCATGAAAAATCATGATTTAAGCATTTAGGTAATCTCATGCTTAACCTACAAGTTGTAAGCAATTAGATGTCAATCCTCACCTCAATTGAGCTTTAAACTTTCCCTTCTTGGTCCAATGGTCAAAGCTTTGGTCAAGGTGGATTTGGAACTGATTCCTTGCTCAAATATGAGTGTTAAACAGCCTCCTCAAAGTGCTAGTTCAACCCTTAATCGTTGATACGAAAACAGCCCCTAGAACGGGTGTTTCCCGGTCAACTCGTTTCCTAGTTTTTCCAAGATTTGTTCTAGGTTAGTATCTAACCTTTACATCAATAAAATAACTTTATAAGGACATATTATACACTTGGATTAGTGTATGATAGTCCCCCCAATCGTTCATATCATATGGAAAATGAAAAGTAAAGTTTTGGGGTTAAAAACTCACTTTTAGAAGATTAAATCCTCTCCTGCGAGGTTGTGTTTTGCTCGGACGATTTGGAAGCCTTCCACAACTCCGATTCCTGCAAACCAGACCTTCACAGATTCCTCGTCTTGAGATCTTTCTGTGGGTATCTCACACGCCTTAATTGGATTTGTAAAACTCGAGATATCGACCAAATAGTCTCAGCACTCTCACAGCTCGAGTTCACAGACCTCTGCTCGTTCCAGATCGATTTTTGGATGATTGCTCTCTCCTCTCGAATTGAGACCACTCAATTATAAAAATAGACTTCAAAAGCTATCCAAGGACACCTTATACACCTCATTTGGCCGAGTATAACCTCACTCATGAAGGGAGACAAAACAGCCCACCTGTTTGTGCGAAAACAGTGGTGGTGGCCCCAAAATTTGATCCCAATTGTGTCATGGCAATGCTCCTCCATGTGGTGCGGCCAAGGTGAGTCTTCTCACACATTTTCCTTGTCTTGCAGGTACTCAAGCCACATGGGATGCCCCCCAATTAATCCCAATCAATTTGGGGTCCAAAATATCTACCAATACTTCCAAAAAATGGGAAGATGGGTCCTATTGTTTTATCTTTGTCAAAGATGTCTTTTTGTACTCATCCTAATTTATTTAGAACAAGTCAACTTCCTAAATCACATTATTGACCTCCAATATGTGTAGGCTCATCCCAATAATTTACTTGATGGATGTTATAGAAGGAAAATCCTACTCCCATTATTTAGCTCGAAAAATGCCAAAGATGGGGTTATAGGCATTTGTATTCTTCTTTAATCCTTCGATCACTTATGTAGATAATGTTGGGCTCTTTTATTTATTAATAAGTCCCGAGTAAGTATTTGCGAAACCCGACACTAATGTACGAGTTTGAACAGTACGATATTCAACCATGCACTACGTAGAACATTGATCGTTTTACAAAATGTTTGGGAATCAGAAATCCAATACATAAACTTTGAATATTCAAATCAAATTTTCAAGGACCTTCGGGAGCGGTGTCACAAGTTCACCCCCCCCTTAACAGGAATTTCGTCCCCGAAATTCACAGCTTTACTCAAATAGGAATGCATACTGCTTCCTCATCAAGGCTTCTGTTTCCCAAGTCTCTTCTTCGACCCGGTCACTCTTCCAAAGGACTTTAACCATTGGAACTTCTTTACTCCTCAGTTTCTTCACTTTTCTGTCAATAACTCTGACCGGTTGCACGGCATAGTTCAAATCTTCACGTACCTCCACGGGCGGCTTCTCCAACACATGAGAAGGATCATGCACATACTTCTTAAGCATGGACACGTGAAATACATTATGAATCTTCTCCAACTCAGGAGTCAACTGTAGACGATATGCTACGGCCCCAACCCTCTCTATAATTCTGAATGGGCCTATATATCGTGGGTTAAGCTTTCCTCGGGTTTGGAATCGAATGATTCCTTTCCAAGGAGAAACTTTCAGGAATACCTCGTCGTCAACCTTAAACTCTAAGGTCCTTCGACGCTTATCCGCATAACTCTTTTGCCTATCCTGAGCCGCCTTGAGTCTCTCTCGAATCAACTTCACCTTTGACTTGGTGACCTCAACCAACTCAGTACCCTCGAGTTTGGCCATGCCAACCTCATCCCAGCATAACGGTGTACGGCATCTCCTCCCATACAATGCCTCGTATGGAGGCATGCCGATGCTTGCCTGATAACTGTTGTTATAGGCAAACTCCACAAGTGCTAAGTGGTTGTCCCAACTTCCTTGGAACTCTAATGCACAAGCCCTCAGCATGTCTTCTAAGATCTGTATGACTCTTTCAGACTGCCCGTCCGTCTGTGGGTGGAAAGCAGTACTGAACTTCAACCTCGTTCCCATAGACTCCTGAAATTTCGGCCAAAAACGTGATGTGAATCGTGGGTCTCTATCGGATACAATGGTCACTGGAACCCCATGTAGCCTCACGATCTCATCCGTGTACAATTTGGCTAACCTCTCGAGTGGGTAGGTAGTGTTGATAGGCAAGAAGTGTGCACTCTTTGTGAGCCTATCCACAACGACCCAAACCGCGTCATAGTTCCTGATAGTCCGTGGTAAGCCTACCACGAAATCCATAGTCACGTGCTCCCACTTCCATTCAGGGATGGAGAGTGGTTGCAATAAGCCTGCTGGGTGCTGATGTTCTGCCTTAACTTGTTGACAAGTAAGGCACCGACTGATGTACTCGGCTATTTCCCTCTTCATTCCAGACCACCAGTAACTTTCTTTCAAATCACGGTACATTTTCGTGCCCCCCGGGTGCATGGCATAAGCCGATGAATGAGCCTCCTCTAAGATGGACTTTCGGAGCTCATCATCTGACGGTATACACACTCGGTCACGAAATAACAAGAGACCATCATCTCTTTCCCTGAAATCCTCCACTGGCCCCGCTTGCATGCGTCCCCGGACCTTCATAAGTTCTTCGTCGGCTTCCTGACCCTTCTTGATCTCATCAAGTAAAGTAGGTCTCACCTCAAATCGTGCCAATAAGGCACCATCGCTGGTTACCTCCAGTTGGGCTCTTAATGCCCTCAAATTAGCTAGCAATGCCCCAGACGAGCTCTTCCGGCTCAAAGCATCTGCCACCACGTTTGCCTTGCCTGGGTGATACTCTATCACTAGATGGTAGTCTTTTATCAGCTCCATCCACCGTCTCTGTCTCATGTTTAGCTCTTTCTGAGTAAACACGTACTTCAAGCTCTTGTGGTCAGTGTATATGTGACATGTCTCCCCGTAGAGATAATGTCTCCATATCTTTAGTGCAAACACCACTGCCCCCAGCTCCAAATCATGAGTAGGATAATTCACCTCATGCTTCTTCAATTGTCGTGAAGCATAGGCAATTACCCTCTCATTCTGCATCAGTACACATCCAAGCCCTTGGATGCTCGCGTCGCTATAGACATCGTACCCCACACCTTGTTTGGGTAATGCAAGTACCGGTGCCTCAGTCAATCTCTTCTTTAGTTCCATGAACCCTTTCTCACATTTGTCATCCCATACAAACTTAGCTCCTTTACGGGTGAGCTTCGTCAATGGCGATGCCAAAACAGAGAACTTCTCCACGAACTTTCTGTAGTAGCCTGCCAATCCAAGGAAACTACGAATTTCCTTGACGTTCTTTGGCCTCTCCCATTCAGTAATGGCTTCTATCTTCTTGTTATCAACAGCAATTCCCGATCCCGAAACCACGTGCCCGAGGAAGCCAATCTCCTTTAGCCAAAATTCACATTTAGAAAATTTGGCATAGAGTTGCTTCTCCCGTAGTGTCTCAAGAACGAGTATCAAGTGCTCTTCATGCTCTTCTTCACTCCTTGAGTAAATCAAGATGTCATCTATGAACACAATCACGAATCGGTCCAAGTATTTATGAAATACTCGGTTCATCAAGTCCATGAATGCCGCCGGGGCGTTTGTTAACCCAAACGACATAACAAGGAATTCAAAATGCCCGTACCTTGTGCGGAAAGCACTCTTTGGTATGTCATCCTCCTTAATCTTCAATTGATGGTACCCCGACCTCAAGTCAATCTTCGAAAACACGGTTGCCCCTCGTAGTTGGTCAAACAAGTCATCAATTCTAGGCAAGGGATACCTATTCTTGATTGTGACCTTGTTCAGTTGACGATAGTCAATACACATTCGAAGTGTCCCATCTTTCTTTTTCACAAAAAGAACGGGTGCTCCCCACGGGGAGTGGCTTGGTCTAATGAAACCATTATCCAAAAGCTCTTGCAATTGGGTTTTCAACTCGTTAAGTTCAGCGGGTGCCATACGGTATGGCGGTATGGAGATTGGTTTGGTACCAGGCTCAACCTCGATCACAAATTCAATCTCCCTATCAGGTGGAAGCCCCGGTAGGTCTTTAGGAAAGACATCCAGATACTTACAAACCACCCTCACGTCGTCGATGTTTGTTTCCTCCTTGGTTTTGTCAACCACGTATGCTAGATATGCGTGGCACCCCTTTCTTATCATACTTCTCGCTCTCACAGCGGATATGATACAACTGTTTGATTTGCCTCGATCCCCCTCGAAGCGTAGGGTGTCCCCATTATTGCCTTCGAGTTCCAAAACCTTTGTGTAGCAATCTACCCTAGCATGATGCTTTTCTAGCCAATCCATCCCTAGGATTGCATCGAACTCCATCATACTCAGCGGTACGAAATCACACGTCAAGGTTTGGCCATCGATTTCCACCTCACAAGATGGATAGTAAGTAGCTCTTTCAATGTCATCCCCTAGTGGTGTTGATACCACTAGAGTTTGCGTCATTGGGATTGATTGTATCCCTAAACCCTCGGCGAACGCCTCACTCACGAATGAACGTTGCGCTCCGGTATCGATAAGGATTCGTGCATCCTTCCCATTAATCTTTAATGTTCCTACATTTATAAGCCATGTAAGACACCATTCCTAACATGTCTAAACTTTATTTAGGGTTAGGGTGCATTTACCGTTCAAACGGGGTGGGTCCCGTTTTGATACGGAAAATTTTCGGACGAAAACAGCTTCGGACCGGCGCCGGTTTAGGCCTGTCCGGCGCCGGTTGTCCGGGTTAAACGTCCCAGCTGCACCGGTCATAGTGGGCCGGTTCCACACAGGCTCGCTCCAGGGAAGGTCCGGCGCCGGTTGGTGGGTGTCCGGCGCCGGTTGGGTGGGTTTCGCAGGCCATCAACGCCGGTTGTAGAGGGCCGGTCGGACACAGGCCCATCCCAGGGACGGTCCGGCGCCGGTTGGCCAGTGGCTGGCGCCGGTTGGATGGAAAATTTCCCTATTGTGCGCCGGTTGGAGAGGGCCGGTCCGAAACAGGCTGCTCTCCAGGGCATGTCCGGCGCCGGGTAGGCTCGGACCGGCGCCGGTCTGGGCGAGTACTTCAATATTACTTCGTTTTCGTGACTCGGAATGCCCAGTTTTGCTCCTACGGTGGCCGGGGCCTTACTCCAAAATCATATACACCTTAAATAAGGCTAAAATACCCCACTTTAATGAGATAATTACCTGCAACGGAATCTGGGTTCGCTCGAGCATCCGCCTCCGTCATCGCATAGACTCTAGCTTGAGTCCTTCCTTGATTCACGGATGGCGCATTGCTCGCGCTTGCTCCCCCTTGTCCCCTGCTTGCTTGAGAAGCCCCGGTCTGATTCCGTGTACCCGTCGGGCCACTACTTGGTCCCGATGTCCTTGCCCCGCCCAGTTGTTGGCAATGCGCCTTCAAATGTCCGGCATCCCCACATTGAAAACATCTAGGGGGGTCGCGACATTTACCGGAGTGGTGCTTCTTGCAATTGTTGCAACGAGTTACCACTGAGGTTTGTGACCTCGCGCCTTGCCCACTCGGGCCTTGGTTCCCCCTAGACGGTGGCGGCGGTGCCCGGAAAGACCCTCCTCCATGGTTCCCCTTTTTGTTGGAACCTTGGGAGCCATGACTCTCCCACTTTCTCTTTTTCGCCTCCTCGGCGTCTCTCTTCTTCCTCTCCTCCCACTGTTTCTCCCCCTTCAACGCTTAGTCAACCACTTGGGCGTAAGTCATATTAGGCAATTGTGTTGCCCTATCACGTATCTCCAAGTCAAGAGCATCCCAAAAGTGGTTCACCATTCGGTTCTCGTCGCAAGCATACTCCGGTATGTAGTCGGCGAGATCCCGGAACTTGTACTCAAGTTCCTTCACTGTCATGTTACCCCCTTGGGTTAGGAGGGTGTATTCCCTCACCTTCTTGTTCACTTCAAAATCAGAATAATATTGGCCAAAGAACTCCCGTTGGAAGTCTTCCCAAACGACGGTCTCACCGTACTTGCTCTTGGTTCCATCCCACCACTTGGATGCCATCCCCTCGAGCAATCTTACCGCAATTCTCAGTTTGAGATTCGGCGCGATTTGCATGTCAAGGGCTGCTTCATTTAGCCTCTTGATCCATTGTGCTGCAACAGAAATGTCCCCTGCTCCATCAAAGGGTTTGCACCCCAAATCTCTTGCTTCCTTGATAAATTTGGAGATCCTTATGGTTGGACCTCCATCATTTTGGCCTCCATGTGGTTCCACATGGACTCTAGATGTACCATGACTTCCTCCTCTTGAAGCCATGCCCGAAGGTTGCCCCGCTCGGCGTCTTCGGCGTTGCCTCCTCTCTTCACGCTCCCGGTGGTATTGTTGGAGTAGTGTTTCGATCCGTGCTAAGGAGCCACTTTCCTCCTCATCACTTACATCGTCATCATCCCCTTCATAAGGGGTCTCAACCGGTTCAGTTTCCGGTCGATAGGTCGAGTCCTCATAGGACCAGTAGGTTTCACTTTCCGTGTCGACATGACCGTCACTCACGGTCTGTGATCGGCCTCCACGGCCAGCTCCTCTAGATGCCCTAGAGGTCCTTCGACTGCCCTGCCCAGTCTCCACTGGTACACGACCCGTCGGGTTTCTCCTAGTAATCCTGCCACCACGGTCCATTTCTGAAAGAAATTTGGAAGGAGTCGTTAGACTCGTATCAAATGTCAATTGACGGATAGGTACTTAAGACACATTTTGGCTCGAGTCACCGCCATACCAATTGCTAAGGGTACCATCTTAACAATTAGAGACCTTGCAACTCAAGTACCAAAAGCTCTCCAAGTACAAAACTTCTATGCTCATGGTTTTCAAAATCTTTTCAAAAAGAGAATTTTGAGACTTCATTATGAAGTTTATGGACTAAGGCTCTGATACCAACTTAATTGTCACGCCCCGGACCTCCCCGGACACGTCAACAACCCGCCGTACAATACGAATAGTCAACCGCAGTCCAACACATTCATATTATACAAGGCGTCATGAATATCATTCACACACAAGTCATCCATAAACAACATAATAAGTAATTCATAAAGCAGTGGAAAACATTGTTTAAAACAAAAGGGCCACACAGGGCTATTCATGAGCACGCAGGCTCTATAATAAAATATCCATGAGCATGTTTATTAATGTTTAAAATCCGAATGGAGGAAGCACGAACCAAGTCTTCGCTCCTAGATGATCTCTCGAGCAACGAGCACAGGAAGCAAGCTCTAGCCTCAACCTGAAAAATGGTGGTGGGACGCCCCCGAAGGGGTCAGCACTCTATAGGGCTATAAAGTGCTGGTGTGGCAGGCATCTAATAGATATACAACAAGTATTTCAAACACAAGACCCTCAAATAGGGTGATAGTATATTATGATTGTAACCCTAAGTTACCCCGTTTAAAAATATACTTACTTTATATAAAAGTCAAGTAGCCGGCCCGTGGGCCCATGTTCATTTGGAAATCACCATTCCCAACCCCGTGACTATAAGCCACGACAACTCCTAGAGTCCAACCCTAGTACATGACATTGTATTCTAGAGCTCGGCTCTACCACATCACCATACAATTCATATACCTCGGGTCAATTTCCCTACCTTGCGTTCTAGAGCTCGGCTCTATCACATCACCACGCAAGTCCTAGAGCTCGGCTCTAGCTATACAATACATAGACTCCAAGTCTACACCTTACATGCATTCTAGAGCTCGGCTCTATCACATCACCATGCATTAAGGTCCAATTCTCAAGCAACCCTATGCCTAGAATTGACATATCATTAAACTACCATGGGTCATCCTTAAAGACTTCCCATAACTTAACCTTAGTTCCATACTAAGTTATCATATACACTTGAACTACATTCAAGTACCTTTCATACAATCCAATCCCTAGGATCAATTTAATCAACAAGTTCCAATAATCACTAACTAGTATTCCAATACTATTAAGATTATTGTTATCGTACCATTATCCTCATTGTTTGTAATTCTCTACATATTTATAATTATGTAGCAGCAACTTAAGTACTCAATCTCAATACACAAATATTCATTTATGTATCCACATGATTCATACATGAGCAAAATGCCCATTTTCACAAAATAGTTCATTTATACTCATTTAATCTCATATTATTCATACTTTCTCAAATCATTCCAAATTCATTCTTTGGCAACTATATCAATATTTCATCAATATATAGTCATCATAATCCATGAAAAATCATGATTTAAGCATTTAGGTAATCTCATGCTTAACCTACAAGTTGTAAGCAATTAGATGTCAATCCTCACCTCAATTGAGCTTTAAACTTTCCCTTCTTGGTCCAATGGTCAAAGCTTTGGTCAAGGTGGATTTGGAACTGATTCCTTGCTCAAATATGAGTGTTAAACAGCCTCCTCAAAGTGCTAGTTCAACCCTTAATCGTTGATACGAAAACAGCCCCTAGAACGGGTGTTTCCCGGTCAACTCGTTTCCTAGTTTTTCCAAGATTTGTTCTAGGTTAGTATCTAACCTTTACATCAATAAAATAACTTTATAAGGACATATTATACACTTGGATTAGTGTATGATAGTCCCCCCAATCGTTCATATCATATGGAAAATGAAAAGTAAAGTTTTGGGGTTAAAAACTCACTTTTAGAAGATTAAATCCTCTCCTGCGAGGTTGTGTTTTGCTCGGACGATTTGGAAGCCTTCCACAACTCCGATTCCTGCAAACCAGACCTTCACAGATTCCTCGTCTTGAGATCTTTCTGTGGGTATCTCACACGCCTTAATTGGATTTGTAAAACTCGAGATATCGACCAAATAGTCTCAGCACTCTCACAGCTCGAGTTCACAGACCTCTGCTCGTTCCAGATCGATTTTTGGATGATTGCTCTCTCCTCTCGAATTGAGACCACTCAATTATAAAAATAGACTTCAAAAGCTATCCAAGGACACCTTATACACCTCATTTGGCCGAGTATAACCTCACTCATGAAGGGAGACAAAACAGCCCACCTGTTTGTGCGAAAACAGTGGTGGTGGCCCCAAAATTTGATCCCAATTGTGTCATGGCAATGCTCCTCCATGTGGTGCGGCCAAGGTGAGTCTTCTCACACATTTTCCTTGTCTTGCAGGTACTCAAGCCACATGGGATGCCCCCCAATTAATCCCAATCAATTTGGGGTCCAAAATATCTACCAATACTTCCAAAAAATGGGAAGATGGGTCCTATTGTTTTATCTTTGTCAAAGATGTCTTTTTGTACTCATCCTAATTTATTTAGAACAAGTCAACTTCCTAAATCACATTATTGACCTCCAATATGTGTAGGCTCATCCCAATAATTTACTTGATGGATGTTATAGAAGGAAAATCCTACTCCCATTATTTAGCTCGAAAAATGCCAAAGATGGGGTTATAGGCATTTGTATTCTTCTTTAATCCTTCGATCACTTATGTAGATAATGTTGGGCTCTTTTATTTATTAATAAGTCCCGAGTAAGTATTTGCGAAACCCGACACTAATGTACGAGTTTGAACAGTACGATATTCAACCATGCACTACGTAGAACATTGATCGTTTTACAAAATGTTTGGGAATCAGAAATCCAATACATAAACTTTGAATATTCAAATCAAATTTTCAAGGACCTTCGGGAGCGGTGTCACACGACCCGTCACTGTACGGGCCCGGAACTGGCCCGGTTCTCGGGTCCGGGTCCGGTTCGGGCACCGAACCGGTTGGGGTAGCGGGTCCGGGCTCGGGTCCTGTTTTTGGAGGCCCGGCCCGGGCCTAACGGTCAGTTTAAAAAAAAAAATTCCTTTTAATTTGAAAAAAAACATTTTGGCTCAACAGCCACTTCCCAAACGGCTATATAGCCGTTGGGGGGGGTACCAGGGGGGGTCCGGGGCGTTTGGGGGGTGGGGTGAGGGGTGGGGGTGGGGGTTAAAAAAAACCTATAAATACTCCTAATTTTAAACATTTTTTCACACCTCTTCTCCAACTCTCCCTAAATCCTACTCTCTACTCATCTCCAATTCTCCATATTCATCTTCTCAAATTCTCTTATTCTCCTTTATATTTTATTTTACTATTTAATATTTATACAATTATTATATCTATTTATATATTAATTATCTACTTATAAATACATATACTATATTACTTATATTTCTTATCTACTTAATCTCTACTTATATTTCTTAATACATACATACATACTACATCTACTTAATATATACTTTATATAATAAAGTATTAAATATACTTTATAAACTATTACTATATACTTAATACATAATAATATCTACTTCTCTACTTAATAATATCTATTTTATATATACTTATTTTATAATATCTACTTTTATATATACTTTTGTTGGGTTAATGGCCCAAGCTGAGGTCCGGCCCATTAGCCCCCTTTTTACCAGACGTACGTCAAGCTAGAACACAAGATTAGCCGCAGGCCCATGTTCCTTGGGCAGGGACGAACGTCTTGTGTTGAGGGTTCTTAGGCTCAACGGCCCACCACGACGAACGTCTATGAAGGGACAAGAAGCAGGACCACGGGCCATCGGGAATGACGACGGACGTCTCCTGAGCAAACCCGTAGTCATAGGAGGAAATCCAGTCCACATGGTGAGAATCCATCAAGGCCAGGAGACGAACAGCCGAAACCGATTGAGGGTCACTTGGAACGATCCAGCTCGCTTCCCAGGCGGACGAACGTCCCCATTATTTAGGCGGGAAACCTAGATTCTGGCGGGAAGTGCATTTAATGCTGAAGATTTGGTGGTTGGGACACAAGCGGTCCACAGGCCTCCACGTCAGCATAGCCACCTGCCCATTGGCGGGTATAAATAGAAGCATTTATTTCATTGTAAAGGGTTGGCAACTTTCTATTCTTAGCACTCTAGCTATATCACTCTTACTCGCAGGACTTCTATTGCCTTGAAAGACGAACGGCCGACGAGCCTTATTTTAGCAAGTAGATTGTACTTAGGGGAGTTATTACGAAGTTAATAATACCTATTTACATTGCCTGCTATTTGCTCTGTTTCCTGATCCATCTGATAGTTGTTGGGCTAGATATTCACATACTCATACACTCACTCCACTCAAAATCTTCGGGCTTACGTGTTGGGCCTGAGGGTTGAAGGAATAAACCTCAACACTGGCGCCGTCTGTGGGAAACTGAACAAAAAGTTTCCAGAAACTCTCCCAAACAGCTACTAGATCTACCTACAGCAAACACGATGTCAGGAAGCAACAACCAGCGTGACCTCTCCGAGCGTCTGGAATCAAGCCGCCGGAATCGCGGCCAGAACTCGGAACTATCCGCGACAATATGGACCTCCGGGGGAAACAGGGGTATCACTGACCTCATTCCCCTTGAGGCCAGGCAGGATCCCCGCCTCATGCGGGAACTTGCTGACACCATGCGCCGTTTGGCAGACGAGCGGGAGGCTCAAGAGCAGGTGTACTCTGCAAGCACCCAGCGAACACCCCTCTCTCCCATCCGCCGTATGCAGTCGTACGATGATACGACAGGGTCCAGCGACCACCGGCCCTCGGTCCATGAGCGGCTAGGTGGAGGTTCAGGCTCCCAAGGAACGGGAGGGCGAACAAATGTTAGCACTGCTGCGTTCAGGGCGCACACGCCATCAGTTCCCCGCCGCATCTCGAGGGGGGACGAAACCCCAAGGATTAACACCGTGGGACGACGTTTCCAGCGGCGAGGGGCGCAAATCCTTAGGCGCCCGCACGATGCTGTGGCCGCACAGCGAAACGCTGTCGTCGAGGCAACGCCTCCTGTGTCCCCCGGAATGGCCGCACAGGATGCGAGGCTGGCGGCGATGGAACGGCAGATTGACGAGATGAACAGACGAACGGATGTCGGCTTGGCCACACCCTCTTTCTCTCTCACGTCACCTTTCACCCCCCGGGCAACTTGGTGTACAATGGGGCCGGTGATCCCAAGGCCCATTTGATTAGCTACCAAGGGAATCTGTCCATGCTGGGGGCATCGGACGAGGCCATATGCAGATTGTTCTTCAGCACCCTCAGGGGGCCGGCACAGGAATGGTTCGGCCAGCTGAGGCCGGGCACCATCGACTCATACGAACAGCTTTCCCGGCAGTTCATGGCCCAAATCGCCGCCAGCACCACCCCCAGGAAGGACGTCACGGCTCTCGCCCACATCAAACAGGGGCGGGACGAACCGCTGGCTAGGTTCCTGGTAAGGTGGAGGGACGAAGTCCTGCAGGTCGATGATCTGGACAAACATCTGGCCACGAACATGTTCACCAGTGCCCTAGCCACCGGAGACCTGTACCGGGACCTGAGGAGAAACCCTGGCACCAGCTACGCCGAGGTTCTGGCTCGGGCCCAGAAGTATGCCTCCATTGAGGAGGAGATCAGGCAGCGGGACGGAGTTCCCGCGACCCACCCACGAAAGATGGTGGACAGGCTCGGACCCAGACCAGGGCCCGGGCCCTCCCCCCCAAACAAAAAGAAGAGGGCGGACGGGGCGATGGTCCCTTGGAAGGCTACGCCCGGAGATATTCAAGCGCGGCCGGACGACCGCTATGTCCCATTGGCCTATCCAGTGAGCCAAATCTTTGAGGCCATCAAGGACAAGGGCCTCCTAACGGAACCCCAAGATATGAAGAAGCATATGGGGCTTGACCAATCGGCCTACTGTGAATACCATCAAAGGGCCGGCCACCTGACAGACAATTGCAGCCAACTAAAGAAAGCGATCGACGAGCTGATCCGTCAGGGGTACTTGGGCGAGTTCACCCAGCTGTTGAACAAGAACAGCCAGCATAAGCCGAACCCAAGGCCCCGGACATGGCGCCGCGACGACCGGCGCGAGGCAGAGCCCCAGGATGTGGATTATCGAAGTGCGGACAAACGTCCGGAGGGGTCTCTTGACCCGAAGGGCAAAAAGAAGAAGCTGGAGATCAAGGTGATCTTCGGGGGCGCTGAGACAGGGGATGTCACCAGCTCCACACAGAGACGAGTTGGTGATCAGCGTGGATGTGAACGATGCCATCGTCCGCCGCGTCCTTGTTGATACCGGGAGCAGTGTGAACGTCCTCTACTGGGAAGCTTTCGAGGGAATGAAGCTCGAGAAGGACATGCTGCACCCTCTGCGTACCCCGCTGTCCGGCTTCACCGGGGACTGCATTGACGCTGAAGGCACCATCACCTTGCCAGTAGAGATCGGCGATGGCCCTCACACCGCCCAGATCGGGATAACGTTCGTCGTGGTCCGCCTGAAATGTGCCCACAACGCCATTTTGGGCCGGCCCGGCTTGGAAGACTTAGGGGCCATATGCTCCGTACGGCACTCGTGCGTCAAATTCCCCACCGACACTGGAGTGGGGGGTAGCGCGTACGGACCCGCATATGGCCAGGGCCTGCTACACAAAGGCCATGGAGAAGCTCAACGAGTGGGAGGCTCGGGTCAACAGCATCTCCGAGAGGGCCAAACAGGCCGACTTGGATGCCCATCTGGAACCAGCAGCCTTGCTGGAAGAAATCGAGCTCGACGACCCGACGGACAGGAAGGTGTCCATCGGTGCAGATCTAGAGCCGGAAATTAGAGCGGGGGTCATAGCCGTCCTTCGAAGGTTCAGAATCCTGTTCGCCAGAGGGCCGGAGGATATGCCGGGCATCGACCCCAACCTCATATGCCATAGGCTCGCTGTGCGGTCGGATGCCAAGCCCATACAACAGAAGAAAAGATATATGGCGACCGACCGACGCGATTTCATCAGGAAGGAGACAGCAACTCTCCTCAGCATCAAACATATCCGGCCGGTCATCCACGTGGAGTGGTTGGCCAACGTGGTACTAGCCCCGAAGGGCGACACATGGCGGATGTGCGTCGATTACTCGGACCTCAAC